GCAATGAAAAGGGAGACTGAGGATGTGGGGGTGAGACAAAAGACAATGGGACAATTAACAAGGAGCCACCCCATATTTCTGGCTGGGAAGAGAGGGTCTGCAGACCACCGACTGGGGACGGGGAAGCATGCAGTTGGCTTTGTGGTGGTGCGGTTACAGTGAGTCTGGGGGAGGGGCCAACAAGGACAGCTCAAAGTCCCTTATTCGGCATGTCGGCTATGCCGGGGACGCCCTGCACATCTCTACGGTCAGGGGAAAGAAACACCTCTGGGCATCCGAGTGCCGGTCATCAGCGGGCAGCCTGAAGAGCAGCGATCAGTGCCAGCGGATCTGAGTACTGGAGAATCTGGGTACCAGCACCCACACGCCTCTCCTGAGAGGAGGTCTACAGCTGGCTTCCATCCCAAGCATCGCGTGGAAAAAGAGGAACAAAATTCTACCAGAATAGACCTGGATGGACGGATGGACTCGTGATGGTGAATCACAGATCACATTGTAAGGGGAGGACTCGCTGCGTACCGGGAGATGAGCAGAACAGACAAGCGGGCACTGTCACGGCGTTCACGCCCGCAGGTCCTTCCAGGTTCCGACGTCAAGGGGTTCTCAGCACAAACCATGGCCTAAGCGGCACCCAAAAGGGACAGACTGCACCATGTGACCGAGGGGGACCAATGGGCTTAACGCAGAGGGTCTTAGGTTTTAATGCTAAGCTTGATAAAGGCTTGATAAGCGCCTGCATTAGACAGGAGGCGGCGCAGACTCACGGTGCAGGCTCAGGGAGATGTTGATGGTCCTTTCCTCAACGAAGCCCTTCAGATTGGGGATGCGGGCGCATTTGAGCTGAGTGCCAAAGGCAGAGTCGCCCACGTGAATCCAGCAGACCGTCTCCTCGGCGTAGCTGAAGTCCATGGCGCTGGTCTGCTTGGTGCTGGTAGACAGCAGGCTGTGCAGGGGGGAGCCACTCAGGGACGTGGCCTGGATGTTCTGGGAGTTGGCGATGAGCAGCACCGGGGGGCGGTCCACCGGATCTGGGCCAGGGGGGAGACAGTGTTGGCAAGGGCAGGCATATGAAAGAGCGTTTGGAGGGTCGGGGGATGGATCAGGCAGGAGATTCACAAGAACACAGGTGGGTGTGTGAGAATGAGGACATCAGTGTTGTTCAGCATGGCTATGGGGGGTGTGGGGGGGTGTGGGGGGGTGTTACCGTTCTTGGCTTTGCAGGAGCGGTTATCTGGCTGCAGCAGGTAACCCTCCACGCAGCTGCAGCTGTACGAGCCGGGGGTGTTGGTGCACGTCTGGCTGCAGATGCCGTACACTGCACACTCGTCGAAGTCTGCAAGGAGGAAGGGGGTCAGTCAGGGTGGGTCGGGAGGGGGGCCACTGCTGGAGATGCTGGGGGTGGGGGAGGGCGTCACGTCACCTTTGCAGGACTTCCCATCGGGGCCGACCTCGAAGGCGCTCCTGCAGTAGCACATGGGTCCGGCGGGCGTCACTGAACAGTTGCCCTGACAGCCGTGCTGGGTGCAGTTCGACGCGAACTCTGCAGGGATGGGCAGTATGGGGGAGGGGGGTCAGGCAAAACACTTCACTGCTGGAACTGGAGATAAAAACAAGGTGATGCTGCACAAATAACGTAATTCCTAATTACTGGGGTATTACGTGGCGTCTCATGGCCCTGTTCACTGGGACCTGGATGAGCCACCTGATCTGAAGATTGAACTTCCTGCCTCCCCCCCACCTCAGACACGGCACTGCAAGCTGGGGGGGGTGGGGGGGGAACCCTCGGGTTATCGTCGCTGAGGAAACACGCTTCCTCCATGTGCGGCGGCACCTCCTACATCCACAGGCGGAGCGGGACAGGCGGAGCGGGACAGGCGGAGCGGGACAGGCGGAGCGGGACAGGCGGGATGGGACAGGCGGGATGGGACAGGCGGAGCGGGACAGGCGGAGCGGGACAGGCGGACCAGTGAGGGGGGCTGATTATGCGCAACCCAGGCCCCTTTGGGGGACACAATGAGGCTTTTGTGAGGCCATGCTTCGGGGGGGGGGGCTGCAGGCAAACACTGAGGTCCATTTCCAATCACGGTCTCAGCCCCGGCGGCAGTGGCCTGGAGCCAAGGGCAACTGCACCGGCAACAAGCCCTCCTGCCTGTTTCCCCCCCTACCCCGCCCGCCCCCGTGCCAGGCCCTGCGGTCCCCTAAAAAAGCCCAGGTTGGTTGGAGGTGGGGGCCCCATCGCCCTTCTGCCCTTCTGCCCTTTACAAAGTAACTGGGGAGGTGGGGGGTGACCCCATTTAAAAAGCCACAGTGGATCATTCCAGCCACGTCATCCTGAGGCCACCAATCCATTGCAAGCAGGATTCAAGAACATTCCACAGTGACCAAGTAGCGGGGGGGAGAGGGGAGCAATTCCAGTGCGGAAGGGCAAAAATGAGTGATTTTTAAAAAGCTTTAAAGAGGATTTTTTTCAAAGGCCGAACAAAGTGTGACTATTTTCACTCCTGCCGAGTGAGTCTGAATTTGAGAAAAATAACCAAGTGCAGCACTGATTGTCTTTCAGATGTGAGCTGAATCTCCAGTGCGGCAGAGAGTCTTTAAATCATGTCAGCAGCGATGCTCCCGGAGGCCGTCTGCGGATAATCGGGAATCTAACGGCAAACGAGTTGCCAGTCAGGGAGCCCCCAGAGGACGTGGGTAATTAGGGTAATAATGAAGTGGATGCGGGCGCTCCTTAGCCAGCCGCCAACCCCCCTACCCCTCTACCCGCCCTGTGTGACCATGGGGGTTTCTGCACAGAGAGACATGCAGCCTCACATGGAACCGGCAGCCAAGAGACTCTATGAAAATTTGATGCTTCCTTCCCATGTTTTCTGAGCCACTCCAATAAATATTTTAGCTACTCACCCCCGTCCCAACCCCCACTGGGGCTGGGATGATTGGGAGGGACCAATCAGGTCACATGTGACACAGACTCACCGCCTCCTTATTGTGGGCCCAAGGGGAGAGAGGGGGTTTCCGGGGATCCGATTCGCAGGTGAGCCGCCACCCCCCGACTGACCCCGCCCCCATGCAAACGCACCCCTTGCTAAGAGCTGATGCATTAAAATCTCACTGTGAGACGTCAAGCCGCTCATGTCGGCGTTTCGCGGGCTGCCTAGATGCCTTTCCTGCAGGCCACTAGAGAAAGACCTTCACGCTAACCAGACTTCATCAAAGTAACGGTGCCACCAATGGGCAACACACCCAAACACAATGGGCAACACAACCAAAAGTGGCTGGGTTACAGGCCGGCGGATCTTTGCCATCTGTATCACGGGAAATGGATCACCATGGATACCTCACTACCGGACCACCGCACGCGGCTGGGGGGTGCAGCTGTACCCTCCATCAATCGGAAAACCCTTCCCAGGCCCTGCCCATGTGCCAAGCCCCACCCACCCCTGAGCCCACCGTCTGCTGAAAGGTTATCGCCTGTATCCCATCAACCCTACTAACCACTCCAACATGAAACACAGTCAATATACTGACCATAACTTCAGCTGATTGTGTGCGAGGGGCCCCACTACCCAACATGGGCAATGAGTGAGCTTAGAGCAGGTCAAATGACAGCATCACGCTCCCACCCCACCCCTGACATGCAGATGCATGTCAGGGGGGGGGGAGGGGGAGGGGGGCACCTGCTGCCACACAGCACAGCACGAGGCACAGAGACCCCCTAATCTTGTAGGAGGCACCGAATTTAGTGTCGCTAAAGGTTCCCACAGTCGCATGGGAAACAAGCTATTTAGCAGACAGCTCTGCCCAGGATCAACAAACGGGTAAAATAAACAGGCACTCTTAGCTGGATCTACCTCAGAGACACAGAGAGGGAAGCGGTACGACAAGCCGACCGGGGGGAGAGCTAACTACACATCCCATAGTACTGATTAAGCTAGCAGTAAAGCAATTAACCATTTATACTGAATCAGACGGCTTGTGACGTGCTAAAGAAACACAAGGCAGCTAAACGCACTTGTGATGTGAACAGCTGTGGGTAATAGTGCACAAGGAGGACGATGGCAGCCCTGAGCGTGCGAAGTAAGTGTGACACACCTCTGCAGTGGGGGCCCTCGTCCCAGCCGTCGGTGCAGTCGGGGGCGCCGTTGCACAGCTTGCTCATGTGGATGCAGGTCTCAGTGCCCAGGCACTGGTACTCATTGGGGGGGCACCGTGACACACGGCTATGAGGACCTGGGGGGGTGAGAAGGGGCAGGGCCATCAGTAAGACGCACAGAAACGGGGTGGGGGGGCGGAATTGTACTGTACACCAGCGGTAATCAAAATTTAGCCGTTAGCTTCTGCTCAGATGCTGAGGTTAGGGAGAGACAGAGTGGAAAAGAAGACCGGAGAGAAGGAAAAGAGGGAAGGAAGGAGGGAAAAGAGGGAGAGAAGGATGAAGAATGGGAGAGAGGGAGAAGAGGGAAGGAGGAATGGATAGGGCGAGAGAGGGAAGAGGGAGAGAGGGAGGCAGGAAAGAAAAGAGGGACAGAAGAACAGAGGGAAACAACAGAGAAGGAAGGAGAGAGAGAGATGGGGGGGGGGCAGGGGAAGGAAGGATTGCTCTCACCACACGACAGAAAATCTCAGCAAAAATGACCCAGGGAAATTTCTGAAGTGATTTTGCATTTTTTACTGTAATTATGGCAACTGAGATGAGAGCACACAAGGTATATTTAACACAACAAAACTGCAGAGTCCCAGGCGTGACAGGGTGTCATTTACGCCGTGACCTGCAGCGTCTGTCTGCCACAGGGTGTGGCCGGTCCCTCCTGCCTCTTCAGCGCCACCCACAGCCTATTCCTGGCGCCTCCGCTCCAGCGAGAGGCCAGAGCCTGCTGCCAGAGCTGTGAATGAGGAGAATGTTCTGGAAGGGGCTCTGGGCCGGGGTGGGCCGGCCGGCCAGGATAATGTGGAATTTAAAGCAATTAAAGTGGTTCGATTTAGAATCCTCGCATTCGACAGGAGGATACATTACAGTACAGGTAGGAGCATACGACACCCTACGGGTATGAAACAGCACATCACATACAGAAGGTGTCAGAAACCCATTAAATACGGTTATATTAAATAGCTTTATTTTATTGTGTATATACACTGTGGCAAGGAGTGTGAGTTTAACATAGTGACATAGAATGGAGTTCATCAAAAATAAAAATCTGTCTCTGTCACCACACACAGCCAGGCAGTGATTCCTGGGAACTCCGATGCATTCCGACTCCACGGGGGGGTCTCGAACCTAGCACCGCTCCCCTCCAGTTCCCCAATTCAGCGATATTTCTGACCTGCCTTCCTCTGATCACCGGAGAGGGGAATTCCCACCACAATACGAGCCCCCGGGGGGTGGAGTGGTCAGTGCAGCGACGTGACGAGCAGTAAGGTACAGGAGCAGGAAGTGTAAGCAAGGCCCCCCACTTCCACGCTGTATCTAAAGCGCCGGGAGCTTTATCTCAAACTGCGTCCCGGCAGCACAAAGGCGGCCTGTATTCTCCGCCTGGCCGGGTGGCAGCTCTGGGCCACTTCCAACTCCGCCTGCCCGGAGGTCTGCTGCCCCGACGAGGCAGCCCGCTCCCGGGGGTCTGCTGCCCCGACGAGGCAGCCCGCTCCCCGCTCACCGGTTTGGGGGCTTCCTCGGCGTCCAGGGCCCTTAAATTCCTCCGTCTCACGGTCAAAGTGAAAAGTGGCCCTTTCGCTAACGTCACAGTCTGCGCTCTCACGTTTTGGGTCCCGGCAGCTTCCAGGTCCAGGAGCTAATTGCAGGTTCGCCGGGAGCAACTCCCCTCGTAAAGAGTCACAGCCCATCATCTCGGGCAGGTTCCCACACTGATCCGACACACGCCCAGGAATCTGTGCTTCGCGGAGCCGGCCGCAGCGTCACACCGCACAGAGGGTCCAGCTAGCGGGGAAACCCGCCAGACAAACCCCTCCCCGGCAAGGGTGATGGAAGGTCAGGAAGGACTTCAAAAAAACAAAACAAAAAAAACCTCACAAACCCCAGAATTCTTTATGGCCCGGCCATTTTGAAGTCAGCGCTAATTATAATCTGGTAGGAGAGGCAAATCTCATGGCAGGCGTGGTGCAACCCAAAGCGATGAGTTAGACGGGCAAGTGTGAAGAGGCAAAATGTCCCCCCGTCCCATGGCAAACTAAAAGAACATACTACCCCCCCCCCCCCCCCCCCACTGGCTGGATGAATTAACGCCGGTCGCTCCATTTGCCAGGACGGTATTGTGCCTGGTGCTATTTCGGCACAGGTGACCAAGTTTGAGGGTCTGCACCTATTTTCGGCGTTTTGTTGGTACAGCCTGATGGGAGGGCCGTAACCGGAATAGCGTCAGCTCAGCCGTAAAGGCGGGAACGCAACCCCGCCGTTACCGTGGAAACACAGGAAGAGTCTCAATCAGAGTTAAGTAGTGAGAAGAATGTAGGCGGGGCCTAAGGCAAGGTCACATGGCCCACACAGCAAGTGGGAAGAATGTAGGCGGAGCCTAAGGCAAGGTCACATGGCCCACACAGCAAGTGGGAAGAATGTAGGCGGAGCCTAAGGCAAGGTCACATGGCCCACACAGCAAGTGGGAAGAATGTAGGCGGAGCCTAAGGCAAGGTCACATGGCCCACACAGCAAGTGGGAAGAATGTAGGCGGAGCCTAAGGCAAGGTCACATGGCCCACACAGCAAGTGGGAAGAATGTAGGCGGAGCCTAAGGCAAGGTCTTGTCCAGCCCATACAGTAAGTGAAACTGTTAGTCTTGGCAGCTGCCATTCCAATTCCCCCCCCCCCCTTTTCTTCTCTCTCACTATCTCCCAAACATCAAACATCTGCCGACCCATTTAATGACCCAACAGAGTAAAATGGGTGGGGGGTGGGGGGAATTCACCTCCTGTACAAGAAGCAAAGGGGGTCAGAGCTCCAATCCCGGCTCTGACATCACGGCAGCAGACAGAGCACCCCCCCCCTCTCCCAAACCACCACATACCCCCACCAGTACAGGCAGACTGGGACCCCTCCTGTGAAAATTGTGGGGCTCTAAGGCAATTCACAGGCCCTGTGAGTTCTCTGCAACCAGAAACAATGGGGGGCGCCGTCGAACAGTCTTCTGAGGCCGGAGCGCAGACTAAAATTGTTGTTGGTCCATTATCATAAGGGGGGGGGTCGCAAACATGCAGTATCCCGGCATCCCGCCCGACAGGCCTGTCCACGGCGCGCCTGGGCGTCTGTGCTAAGCCCCGCTAAGCCGCTACGGAAATGTCAAAACATCTGATAATTACAAACCTACCAACAAACAAAAGCAAACAACCGAAATCCTGCCTCAGGAGAACAGCTCAGAGGCCCAATGAGTCGGGGGGTCCAGCTCTTAATGGATTACCTGCAGCGCCTTTTTCGGAAATTCCCTTCCAACCAAACAAAAACAGCCAGCACCTATTCCGGCAAGCACCCCCCTCCCCTCACCCCCGCCTGTTTCTTGCCAGGACTGACTCTTGTATATAAACACCACCACCCCACCCCAGAAGGCCAGCTGTAGGCTGCAGTCCACGGCCAGCGCACCGCGTTCCTGTGCCGCTGCCCCTCACTCTGCCCGCCGTCCTGCTTCCCAAGGCGCCGTTGCGGGGGGGTCTGAGCGCGCTGTTCCTGCCAGACCTCCTATTATTGCTTAAGCGCTACCTTTGCATGCAAACGCTGCAAAATGGGCCCCATGGTCTCCAGATGCCAGACTGAGCTGGGAATTAACCAAACTATTGTTTGGGAGACTATTTTAACTTTTGCTAAATCACTGCCCATAAACCACAAAACCTAGCACGCACACCCCCACCAGTCACAAGTCAGCACCTTACTGGGTGGGGGGGTAGGGGTTGGTTTGCCTCCACGGTGAACCTAGCCCCCCCCCCCCAGGTCCACATTCCTGCACACAGGGGCTAAATCAGGAACTAAATCAGGCTCAAGACACAACAATCTCATTTCTTTCAAAACAATTTGGCTGTCCACCCCCCGCCCCCCCCTTTACGCCACCCTGGTCCAAAAGCCTGTGGGAGGCGCACCAATAGAGCACTCTCAGATGAGGAAATGGAGCCCTGCAAGCTGGTATTCAGATTGGTTGCCCATTGGCTACATAGGGGTCTCCAAGCCACACCCACAACTACAACTTGCCCATCTGAGTGGCCGACACAACTGTCAGTTTAAAAATGCTGGTCTGGAAGCCACTGACTATGTATGGTTACCAAACCCAGACAGATATAGGGAGCGCTCCCTGCAGGCCTTGGCAACACAGAGGCCTGCTTTATCTTTCATTCATAGGGGTGGGAAAATAAAACTGAAACACCTGGTTTTAGACCACAATAATTCATTATGGTGTAGAGCCTCCTTCTGAGGCCAATACAGCATCAATTCGTCCTGCACAGTGGCCAGGGGGATTTTGAGCCATTTCTCTTGCAGAACAGTGGCCAGGTCACTACGTGATGCTGTTGGAGGAAAATGTTTCCTGACTCGCTCCTCCAAAACACCTCAAAGTAGCCAAATAACATTCAGATCTGGTGACTGCAGGCCATGGGAGATGTTCAGCTTCACTTTCATGTTCATCAAACCACTCTGTCACCAGTCTTGCTGTGTGTATTGGTGCATTATCTTGATACACGGCGCCACCTTCAGGATGCAATGTTTGAACCACTGGGTGAACATGGTTCTCCAGAATGGTCTGGTAGTCCTTAGCAGTGATGCGCCCATCTAGAACAAATAGCTGGCCTAGGGAAAGACGGTGAAGGTAGATTCAGAACAATGCATGTTTCACATTGTCCACAGCCCAAGATTTGTGCTGCTGGCACCAGTGACCAAAGGTTTGGCTATAGCAGCCCAACCATGAAAATTGACCCTGTGCAGATCTCAATGAACAGTTCTGGTGATAAAAGAAGAGTTGAGGCGCACATTTAATTCTGCAATGATTTGGGCAGCTGTGGTTTTATGTTTTTTGGATATAATCCAGGTTAGTACCCGGACTTTCCCTTCAGACAGCTTCCTCTTGCATCCACAGTTACTCGTGTTAGATATGGTCCATGTGGTGGGTTGCTGACATCACCCTGGAAACCGTAGCTCTAACAATCACAAAGACTTGCTGTCCTGGTCACAGATACGGCAGGGAAATGTGCACCAACAATTTGTCCTCTTTTGAACTCTGATATGTCTCCCATTATGTTGTGTGGATT